GGGTATGGGGGTTCAGGGGCGCCCGCACGGCTACCTTCCCGGTGCTTGAGCGATGGCTGCTGGGTCGGGAGCAGGCGTGGTTCTCCTTCCCGCAGTAGATCGGGCCAGCCTACCTTCCCGGCGCTTGAACGATGGCTGCTGCAATATTTGTTTTTACTAGAAACTACTTTTTATAGGTAAGAAATATATCACATTTTTATATATAAAAAGTATTTTTACAAATACTTTATTATTTATAAAAGTATTTTTATTAATAAAGTAAATTTGGATTAACCTTGAAAAGAAAAATCATAGAGAACATGTACAATTTATAAATAGACTGGAATTAAAAGAAATTAATATTAAATACTGAATGATTATTTCCTTATTATTAGTGGCAAATATCATAGAGTTAGCTATAAATTTCCTATGTACTTATCCTCTAAGGCTTTTTTTCCAACAAAGTATACAATTTTCTAATCATTATGACATAGAGAATAATGACAAGAAGTGGATCTTGGTGGAAGGGCATAAATGGCAGAAGGGGCTCTGTCCTGCCCAAGATTCCTTGTTGAGTTTACCAACTGATCCATCATACATATATCATCCATGTTTCAAACCTTGTCACTTTAGAAAGGAGGAGCTGTAATCTGGATTTTGAATGATCCCCAAAGGCCATGTATTGAGGGTCTTGACCAGAATCTGTGGTACCTAGGGAGAAGGTGAAACATTTAGGGGCTGAGGCCAATGGGAAGAAATTAAGTTATTAGGGATATCCTTTGAAGGGATATTGGGACCTCAGCTCCTTCCTCTTTCTCCTTTTGCTTCCTGAGCCCCATGAAGTGAACAGCTTCCTCTGCTATACCCCTGCCATGATGTTCTGCCTCACCACAGGCCAGGGCTACAGGGTCAAGTGACCAGGATTGAAACTTTTGAAATCATGAGCCAAAATAAACCTCTTCTTAAGATGATTATCTCAGGTATTTTGTCACAGTAAACACAGTAACAGAAAACTGACAACACAGCAGGCCTGCTGTATATGTGATGGGAGAAGGGGTTCTGTCCTGCCCAAGATTTTCTGTTGAGTTTACCATCTGATCCATCATACATATATCATCCGTGTTTTACACCCTGTTACTTTAGAAAGGAGGAGCTGTAACCTGGAACTATAGCATCACTATAGTTTGCGCATGTGTTTCAACTCCTGGCTCTCTTTCCCAAGTGACCTCAGACCTTGCTTGACTTCTGTATTTCTATTCTACATAATAACACAAATCAATTTTCTAAAAACCACAAGGTCTGCCCTTTTAAAACTAAGATCACTTTCAGCAGCCACAAAGATACATAGTCTGAATAGCAGTATTTCCTAACATCAAGTGCATATAATAGCTTTAGAAACTTTAAAAAATAGTGATGCCCACTTCCTTTCCCACCTCCAGATTAAAATTGTGATTGGTCGAGATGGGGCCTGAACATAAGCTCCCCAGGTAAATGCAATGGCAACAACACAGAATCATCGTTTTGAAGTCACACTGAAAAGAAGAGCTTCTCCTCCTCCTCTGGCCTGCAGGTAATGCATCTGTAAGACTATAGGCAGAGGGGTGTTTTATAGACGACAACTTCAGATTTAATAAGTGGATGCAATGAAAAGTACTGCCAAATAGAAAGATTAGGACAAGCATTATCTTGATTATTTTGTCAGAAAAGATTGCTAATACCTGATATCTGTGAATTACCATCTCAGTTTTAAAACACTTACACACATACCACCAATACTGTTCTCATAAGTACCCCAGGAGGCAGAAAGGAAAGGCATCATCATGTACATTTTTTTATAAGCCAGGAAAGGAAGCTCCAGAATGTTGAAGGATAGGTCTGTGATTATGCAGTTTAATACCTCATAGCTTTGGAATTAGAATCCAGGTTTCTGATTGTTATTCCATTTAACAAATTGGCATTATGATAAATTAGAGTCCCAAATAGTCGTAGCCCCTCACTTGCTGTGTGATCCATGTGTAGTAATCTCTCTGAGCTTCAGTGACCTCATGTACAGAATGGGGCTAATAGTTGTACCTACCTCAAGGATTGCAGTTAGCATGAAATAAGAGAAAGATTCTCACAGAGTATAAACTTCAGTACAAATATAAGTTGTTGCCAGTATTAATCAGTGAGAGAAAGCATTATAGATTGATAAAAGTCAGAATATTTATAATGCTGCTCTCCTGTTTTGGGATCATAAATATAGCCCAAAGTATGATAATATCTTACTTATTCTTTTAAATATAGTCATTTGTTTTTGGCATGGTCCATTCGTCAATTTACCAGTCAAGTTGCAGAACTGATTGCAGCAGACTGGGCTTGTCAAAGTCAAATAAATGTGTGGAGGTGAGACATTAAGTCCACTGCAGACTCATGCTCCTCTCCTCTGCAGCATTCCGGAATTTTTTACTCATCATGGCATGTGGAACAGCTGCTAGACATGTCCTTAACTACTCTCAAAGTCTGTAACATGCCATATTTCCCATTTGGTTCTCTGGGACTATTTTGGAGGTTCTAGATTAGTCATGTGTGGTATTGGATCAAAAATCACTGGAACAGTTTTTCTTTTGCTCCACGCTGACCTCAATGAGAGCAGACCTGGGTAGAGAGCAATGTCTGAGGAATGTCTGAGGTTTCTCTCATAAGAGATGAAAATCAAGAAACAGTTAAGGGATGAAACAAATAAGTGCTTTCAATCTACTGTCTACTGTCAGTGAGACAGTTGATGGCACTTAACTGTGGATATAAGACAGTTTTTAAAAATACAGGTCATTTTATGCATACTTTTCACTTAATACTGTCAAGTTCCCCTATTTATTTCATAATTCTCTCCAGCACAATGCTCTCTGTGCAACAGATTTTCAATAAATGTGAGGGATTTCTTTGCCTATGACATTAGCTCATTTACTTATTCATATAAGAAACATTTGTTAGGTTTTTACTTTATGTCAGACATGATGCTAGGGCTGGGGATGTGAAACTGTGAAGACACAGTTCCCATTCTTAAGGAACATATTCTTTAGTGAGAAATAGAAGTGAATCAATTGTTAGAACCAATGTAAGTGCTGCTATGGTGGGAGTATGGGATTATATGGAGCACATGAAAGAAGACTAAGAGTTAGGGAATGGACTTGCCTGAGATGACTCCTGAAGAGCAAGGAGGAAATGAGAAGGCAAAAGGTACAGTGGGGATGCTAGGTAGGGCAGAAAAAGAGGTGTGCTGGCACAGATATGAGGAGGTTGGCACGCAGAAAGCACAGGTATTTAATCTCAGCAAGAAGAGAAAAGTAACACAACCACCTACCCAAGTTTACTTCTCTTTGGGCTTAAAGTCTCATTTACACTTTCCCCCTAGATTGGCTTTTATCTCTGGGTATCATTAGTGAGTCTTCCAACAGAAAATTTGGTAGTTTAGAAATATATGTCAGATGGCCTGAGCAGAACAAAGGGACAGCCAGTAAAGCTCAACTCAGGTGGGTGAGAGTATGCATAAGTACAAGCATCCTGTTCTCAAAAAGTTTTTGAAGCTTTAAAAAAAAAATAGAGGCAAATATAAGGGATACTGTTTCTCAAGTGGCTAACAGAGTCTCCAAGGAGAGGGTTCCATCCTGATCCTATGGGAGTTTATAGGAGTCCCTGGGTATGCTCCACTCTTCCTTCTAAGGGCTAATGTTACAGATCCTAGTGATTTACTAGCAAAATTGGGGGCAATTCTCCAATTTTTCAAAGGCCAAAGTTGATCTTACCTGTCAGGACTATGCCAGCCTATGATTCTTAGATTCCCCTGAGTTTACCATACAGACTTGCACTACTCTTAATACTGCCTCTCTGATGCCTACAGGCTAAGAAGTTAGCTACTTTTGTGAACAGATGCTTTTGCAGACCCATGCAAGTAGACAGGACATCAGTGACCTGCACTTCAAAGACTCTGAGGAGTTGTGGTCCACTGATGGAAGTAGCATTGTCCAAGACGGACATCAAAAGGCAGGTTATGCAGTTATCAACAGGTAACTGAGGCCAAATCCCATTGCCCAAGTATCCTGTTCAAAGAGCAGATCTCATAGTTCCTACCTAAGGGGTGACATTAAGAAAAGGCAGAAGGATACCTAGCTACTGACTCCAAATATGTCTTTCTGGTGCTACATACCAATGCAGCAACCTGTAAAGAAAGGAGCTTGCAGACCAGTAAGCAATTACCTATTGAAAAACAAGCAGGAAAATTATTCAACTTTTAGAGTCAGTCTATCTTCCTAAGTAGGTTGCCATCATTTATTGCAAGGGACCCCTAAAAGGCATATCTAATATCTCTTTGGGAAATCAAAAGCCTGGTAGAAAGGTAAGAAGGAAAGCCTTATAGCTCTTGAAGACCCTAGCCTCATTCCCAGTTCCTGAGGAAGCATTAAACTAATCCTTCCTCAAGGGATGCAGTGACAAACCATACAAATTGTACATGGGAAACGGTTACTCCTGATAATTTACCTGAAATCCCTCTTTGCCATACTTTCTTTTCCTCACGAAGCAGGGAAATTTAACCTGCTCTTCATATTTGGGCTCTACATCCACAACCTAATAATAAAGTTACTTTCTTTTCCCATTGAACAGACAGCACAATAGTTATTAACTCTTCTCTCATTGTCTACTGACAGATTTCTTTCCTTCACCCCAGTCAGTGAGCCACAACACCCCAAGGTACAGGTAGGCCCTCTAGCTGCTTCTAGCAGGAAGTAGCTAAATGAAGACAAGAGACCTCCACTCCCTCAGTACCCCAGGAGAAAATGTGGCAGGCGATTAGGGCATGGTAAAGACTGGTTGGGAAAATAGGTATGAGTTGTTAATTGCAAAATCCCAGGAGGGTGTGACGACCTGGAGGAATGGGTATGACAAAATCCCAGGACATGGGCACAGAACATTTCCCAAAGCCCTGCATATGAACTTCTCATGAGAACTCAAGTAGGTTCTCTATAGGATGACCTAGGCCTAATGTTGTCCTGAGGAATGGGAGATACAAAAAGGATAGTTGACAGAGAACTCTTTGCTGTCTTTGACCACTCTTTGTGGTCTTTCATTACAGCTTGCTCTCTCCTGTGGAGTATATTTATTTTCCTATTTTTACTTGGCCCAAACTTGCTCTGTAGAGCCTACTTCTTTTTCTATTCTTAATAACTGTAAAACTTTATTACCCACTTTCCCAAATAAAAACAAATCCTAATGGTAAGCACAAAGCAAAATTATGGTAAACAAAAAATAAAAATCAAGGAATCAAAATATACCAGTAGAGAAAATTATTTAACCACAAAAGAATACTGTATAGGAGGAAGATGAGAACAAAGGATCTAAAACAACTAGAGGGCTAGGCATGGTGGTACACACCTGTCATCCCAGCATTCAGGAGGCTGAGACAGGAGAACTGCCACAAGATTCTGCCAGTCTGAACTAGACCCTCTGTCAAAAAACAAACAGGCAAAATCAAAGCAAAATAAAACAAGAAAACAATGAACAAGATGATGATAGGGAGGCCTTACATACAAATAATAACCCAAGATGTAAATGGAAATGAATAATTATAATATAAGGTTATAACAATTAAAATTAATGTATTAAATCTACACTTATCAACATGGATAAATCTCAGAAACACCACGCTGAACAATTAAAAAAGATAATTTCATGATGGCACAATATAATAGCCTTTATATAAAGCTTGAAAACTTGCAAAACAACATTATATGATGCTTATAATATAGAGCTATGTGGCAATAGTATAAGATGCATCACCCCAAATCAAAATCAGGATATGGTGGGTATTATTTTTCACTTTCTCTTTTGGTCTCTTTCTCTCCCCTCTAGGGTCTGACATATGCTGGGCAATTACTCTACCACTGAGCTACATGCCAAGCCCAATTATCATGCTTAATCAATTATTGTGTGTTAAAAATCAAGTGCTTATCTGTCATGAAGGTATAAATCCTAGCACACAGATAAATAAGGGAGAAATGTGTTTTTCCCAAAACTTGTGTAATGGCTGTCCTTACTTTTTTCAGAGTAAGAACAGATAACCAGGGCTTTGGGGAAAAGGGATGGAGATGAGGTAGAATAAGTGCTGTTAGAATTCTTTATTACCACTGAGGATTTTTTGAAATGTGAAATTTGAGGTGAGAATTGACAAAGATGTGAGGCAGCCTGGTGAGCATAAGGAGAGGACATCAAAGAAAATAGGATGATGAACAATTTGCTCAGTTAACCATTTAGGACTGATTCAAGTAAGCTCACAATTATTATTTTCTATCATTCATGCACATGTCACAAGACCCAAAATTCACCAGTGAACAAGGAAAGAGAAGAAATGGAATCTTCCTCCAAAACCCATCACCTTAATTCTCTGTAGCTGAAAAATTAAAATAGGAAAACCATTTTAGGGGTGTGAGGGGCTGATATCTTCTTAGAGGGGGTAATGGGATCCCAATTGTGCTGATACTTTTTTCATTGAGATTTGAAACATTTTATGGTTGGGGTTGCTTGGCAGAATGCTGC